ATCGACAGTGCGAGACGGATTTACTTCACAATGATATACTCGCAACACATGTATGTATGGGTGATCCTGTAAGTGTGAGTATGGGTCATACAGTGAACTACTTAGTATCTTGCCGTCGAACGTTCGCTCTGTAAACGCAGCGATAGCATCGTGGGTACACAACTGCGCAAACCTACCGCAAAGACTTTCTGGATTAAGTTTTCCTATTGATACGCACATTGTTCCCGTTCGTAGTTTTCCTCAGATACTTGTGTACCAATATTGTTTGATCCCTCTACTTCGTATCCTTTCCCACTTCTGTAATTTCTTTCACTGATGAGTTAAATATTGTCTATAATCACGTTTTTGGATTTCAGCATGGGCGGCGCATTCGCAGTGCACGCTCTCTGCGAGAACGTCATTCCTAGCTTTGCTGCCGTAGCCGTAATTGACGTCGTTGAAGGTAAGTCTGTTGCTGCCGGTATGTTTTGAACCGCTATTTTCATAGGGTCTGCTATGGACGCTCTGCAAGGCATGAAGAACGTGCTCCGCTGTCGTCCTAGCCGATTTGAATCCGTCGAAAAGGCCGTGGAGTGGTGGTACGCACATGCATACTTTATTACTTTGTCAGTCAGCCACTCACTCACATTTGATGACCACCTATCTCTTCTGATCACCGAGACAGACGCATTTGACTCTGAGACGTTCTCAGTCCTGTACCAGAGTGTGAGTTTCGGCAGAAGACAACGAGTCTGGAAGATTCTCCGTTCATATATTTGCACCAAGTTAATCTTTGCCGTCCCTTGGGCTTTGTGCCGCTCGGCTAGCCAAGATGTAGTTGCTTCGCCTTCCTTTCTGGACACATTTATAACAGCTGCCTTAACCATCACAATTGTCAAGCAGCTGCTGTTACCGAGGCTTTTTTGGATATTTGCTCTCTGCATCATGTCGAGAGAGACGTGTACGCAACGATTCGTCTCAAAAAACCCATTTTGGCCGCTTGTACCTGGGAACAAAGTTTTTCAGTCATGGTCCACGACTTGTGACCGTAAGTAAGCATGGGGGTGAAGATATCGACTTGAACGTCTAGAGCTAAGTCTTCAAATTTCGCTCTGTCTTAGTCACAGTGGTTCAGGCTAGTTCACCCAGAACGCCACTGGGTACTTCAATCCGCCGGTCGATTTCTTCCTCAAATTTTTCACAAACGGAAAACACGATCCTGAGGTGCTTAAACTTCTGTCTGCTCCAGCGCTTCTTCCTTTATCTGAAGAGATAAACGGGCAGGACGGCTTTTCGTTTTAGATAGATTTACACGCATTCAGACCACGTCGCACTCGGCTTCGAAGTATTTCAGAGAGCGCCGTAGATGAGTCTCAAAAGATGCCAACAAAACGGTCGTCTCTAAACAGCAGTCTTCTTGTCTCCACATTTCCTACGCTGATACACTCATTGCCTTGGCTGCGTCTGACTATTCTATCCATGTACTCAAACAAGAGAGGGTTAGGACTGTTCTTTTTAATCACTCCCTCTAATTTTTCAGTGTCTGCTCCAACATGCGTATTGAAATCGCTCATTAGAATTGGGGACTGCTTAGTTGGAATTTCGTTCAGAGCGTCTTCTCCGTATTCCAGGGGGAATTTGTTTTTTACGTCGAAATTATGATTGCCATTCTTCATATGACAGGCTTCATTGATTCATTCAATCCTTCATCATTCATTCATTGATTCATTCATTCATACGTCGAAATTATGATTGCCATTCTTCATATGACAGGCGATTCATTGATTCTGACCGCCATATTAGGTTCTAGCAAAATGTTAACGCTGGTCTTTGCGGTGGATACCTGTTGTCGACACCTTGGTAGAGTCTAGTTCTTTCCTCTGGACGAAATGTTCAAATTTCCGACTGTAAATTCACAGTGTCCTCTCTTTCCCGCGGAACCGTATCTGCCGTTATATGATGGATTTGCGCTGTATGCCTCATTCGTTCAGAACTCTTAACGTCTCGTGTGCTCACTGTTATTGTAGTCGTCTTTTTTGTAAATTTTCTGCCCCCGTTATCATGCTTTCACGCCCCCGGCTGCCAGAAGGCGTTGAGCAGGTTCTCATCACGGACGTTTCGAAATCTACGTCTTTTCTGCAACGGCTTTCACGGCCTTTTAATAACATGGTAAACAACCAAGCCGGTATGGAATTCGATAACGAGAATACCATGAAGGGCAGGTGGTTTTTTTTACGGGAGACCTCGCCACTTTCCTCAATCTTCCTTTTTCGTTCGAGCTTTTGGCTACCATCAGCGAAGTTGTTTACTGATTTTATATTGTTTCGTTTGTGTTAGCGTATTTCATACTGTGGTAACCCATGAACGTCTTTCGATTTCGCAGAAAGAACAACGCTGTTGCGCAAGTTGTATAAGCTAAACTAGTGCCAGGCCCAAATAAAGGACATTTCTAAGTTTCGGTATTCTAGATTCTCCAATTTTCGATGTGCTGTAGCTAACCATGAGTTAGTTACTTAACCATTTTAATTGTGTAAATGTTAACCGTTATGTTTACCTTGCAGTTCTGCTACCGGCATGCAGGATCAGCAGCATTTCTTACGATAGATCAGTCAATGGAACTTCGAACTTCCAGTCGAAAGGTCTCAGACTTGTATCCCGACGGGGTCACGCGCTTTTAATTCGTTCGATATAGATAATTGAGTGATGTAGTACTTACTTAAAACTTGCGAATATAAGTAAGTACCATATCTCAAAGGTTACTTACATGCAGCGTATTTGTTTCCCTGTCAAAAGCTTGTTTTTCTTAGTTTTTGTTATTTTTTTAGCATTCGCAGCGGATACACGTCTAATCTGGAATCGGCAAGAGTTTCAATGCCTTCGCAGATAGTGAGGTAATGTTATTTTCCTGTGACTTCTTTCTGCTCAACAACACAATACGTTTTTTACTGGGAGTTTCAAATATTCGAATACCTTAAAATATGGTATAGAGGGAGCAGAAATTGTTTCTGGTATCTAGTGTCTTACAAATTTTCTTCAACCAGTTTAGAGGAAATTTTTTATAGCATGAAATCTGTTGTCATAGTCGCTCGTATACCGAATTTGAGCAAGTTGTCCAGTCAAAGTAGTTTAATTTGTTTTTAACAAAATTTGATAGCTATGTGACTTTTTCCTCTTGACTCACATTGACATTGTTTTGGTATAGGTGTAAATTGCAGGAAATGCATCAGAGCAGAAATATTTTCATATTTTCAAGTTTACGCAGTAATTCAGATATGTTTAGAGTTGTTGACAGCATTTCAGAACAGAACAAGGCTTGTGAACAATTGACTGAGGAAGTAGAAGAATCACACGCTTCTGATGATCTCAAGAAACCGGTAGCAGTAAAAGAATCGTTTACCTGGCGAATTGATTTGTCCAAGACTGAGCCGTACTGGCAAAGCTGGTTCAGCGGTCTTTCGCAGAAATTTCTATCCATTACGGTTCCAAAACTGTTGCTGTTGGCTGGAATCGACCGTCTTGACAAAGAACTGACCATCGGTCACATGCAAGGCAAGTTTCAGATGATCGTCCTGCCAAGATGTGGCCATGCCGTGCAAGAAGATTCCCCGGATCGTCTCGCGGACACGGTGGCCATGTTTCTTGTCCGGAACCGTCTCGCTGAAGCCATCGCTGACTTTCATCCCGTTCTTCCGGGATGTTGATCTGGGTTTTTCTCAGGTCACGGTTTCCAACGCTATAAATGGAGTGTTATGAATAACAAAATTTGGCAACAACCGAGATACGCTGTGAATTCTTGCTGTACTTATGCTCGTTTTCGAGTTTGAGACCATGACAAAGAATGCATATTTTCCTTAACTGTTTTTCTTGCTTCGAGAAGTGTGTGATAACTTGTTTCTTGTTGCGGTAATTTCTTCGTTTTTGCTTCGTTGTTTAGATCCATGTTTAAAAATAAAAGTTTTATATTTATGACTTGCGCGTGGTGGTTCATTTTCTTATAGGTACAGCTTTTTATGATATTGCAGATGCAGCATATTCACTAATTGCAAATGTAACTTATAAATCGCAGTTTTAGACCACTTGTTCTTTCTTGACTCTGTGGTCGGATTCATTGTTGCTGAAGTTGACGAACTGAGGTGGTAAAGTACATTGTTTTTCACTTGAAATTCTTAACCTCTTCAAATATTAACAGATTCTGTTTAAGAATAATTATTTTGTGGTGGTGTAGGTTTCACGGTAGTAAAATAAATATAAATTTGTAACTTATTTTAATAAAATGCTGTGTATAAGTGTAAAGAATATTGATATATAACCACCAGAAAATTGTTCTTGCGGATGTTTTTGTGACTCGTTTTTGTACTCCAACGTATGGTATTAGATGCCGAAAGAACCTGAGACGTGTCAGCGTCCGAAACATAATGCGTGGCGAAACTGCTGTTGTTCCAAACAATATAACGCTGTGACATCTGTGTACAGGACATGCTGAAATACGTGTCTGTTTGCTGTATTTGTTGAGATCATCGTTGAGCTGTTTACGTAAACAAAACCTGGTTTGTGATGTTCGTTGTTTTTGCAGCTTCTCAACACTTGTAATAGGGTACCTGTTACTGCATCATAGAAATAAGTGTTCGTCTGAGGAAGCAGATATTCATCTACCTTGTTTCTTCCTGTCTGATGATGGTCTCATGGTCTGTCGTGTTTCGGCTTTTGCAAATGTGTCTCGACTGGAATAAATGGTTTCTCCTTCATTACATCTACCCAGATCATCTTTGCTCAGAACAGAATAGAGTCTTTGCTTAGGTGGTTCCTGCCATTTAACCCTCATTATGCATTGAAGGCAACGCTGCTGCATGCAGTTCATCCGTCGTTCTTGCTCCTTCGTTAGATCATCTTTGTTCCTGCAGTACAATATTCTCCTGAAAGAGGCAATGTGCAGGCTGGTTTTTTGTAAAGATATACTCCTTTCTCAACCCAAATAACGGACAAATGAATGAAGCCATGGTCTGCATCAATGCCTCACATGGGCATTCAGGAGCAAGCATTTGTTTGTTTCGTTATGCTAAGGCTAAAATAATGTCATATATATATATATACATACTTTTTTGATTGTATTCAGCAGTCACATACATTGCGCCAGTTTTCTGCTATTTTCTTTTGTTCTTGTATACTTCTACCTCAGTGGTCCTTATACACCAGCAATAAAATCGTGCCGTCGTAGAGAGCGACATACTGCGATCTCACTGGTATGCCTCGACGATGGCATCTATTCATCATTAATTTGTTACGTGCTCAGTCAGGTGTTTTGTTTTCTTTAAACTCCAGGAGAATACTTTTCACTCTGGTTTGTTGATATTTGCATTACGGACATGATCGCCCAGAGAAATTGCCTGCACCCTTCTTTCTCTGGCTTTTTCAGTGACAGATTGGTGATGATGATGATACGTTTCGCAACCATACAGTACCGCTAACAATACCATTGCGTTGAAGAAATAGGCCCAGCCCACGTTCATCAGTCGACTTTTTAAGTGAGACGTCTTTAGTGAAATGGCAGTGCATTACCGGAACCAATAAGACACTGTTATTTTTAACTATAAAGAAATTCCTTATGAAGAGTTTTCACGGTATGCAGTACTGTATGCTATATAATATTATGCTAAACCTAAATTACCACACCATTAAGTTCGTTGCAATTTAGCAGAGTAGCTGCAAAGATGTTTACAACAGTTGGGGTTTAGTGCAGAATAGCGTAATGTACAAGGTTATGCTTATCTCTTCTAACACGCAATTATTTTATAAAATAAGCTGCGTACCGTATTATGCGACTGTCTCGCTCGCTGACTCTAGAAACACCAATGATTCTAGACGCTACAGTAGCGGAACGAGCGTACATCGCCATGAGTAAACCTCATCGATCAGCTCGACAGGCCTACCACTATTATGCCACATATGCTCCATCACTGGTGATCCACTTATGAGTAAACGTTGCTTTGTATCGGTAACATCGGTTTTGTTTTCCTTCGATCAAGGGTAGTAATGATCTGATTTTGCTTTTAAAATGATAAATGTCTGTTATATGTCCTCCACTCAAAGGAAGGAGCCAGTTAACAGTTAATGTATATGCCTGAAAAGTGTTATTACTCCGGATTTCTGAGATCTTCACAATTAAAACTGACAAGGAGATTACTTTCTCTCCAGTTACTGACATCCATCAAGAAAAACCCAAATTTGCTGAAAACATTTCTCATAATGACTAGTGGTTATATCCTCTGATCATAGGGTAGTGCTAGGGCGAAGAAATTGCACCTGCTTTCTTTTCGGATTAATACGGCCCATAGTCCATAATTCTGCTATCTGGGATTATAACTGGAATGTCTGTTCTTCCAGGCAAATTTGGTTGAAGGGCATATGGAGCTCAGCAAATACTCATTTGCCATTATTTTGTTGGCCTGCCGTTTCAGGTTACAGGATGCCCTTTTCACTACTAATCATACTAACTCATCTCTGATCCCATGATTTCAGTGCCAACCCTCACCGCGACACACTACCTAGGGCAGCTTATGGAGATGTGTATTAGTTTAACTTACGGCATGGAATTTATGTTTACGTGGGGTCATCTGTCAGTTGACTCGGGGCGCGCTGATTAATATCGATTTAAAACTTAGATTTCTGTTTGCAGATTATATTATTTATATTGTGCTATTATTAATTATATTAACTATTCTTTATTTAGATATGAGGTGGAAATTGGCATTGAAGAAAATATCTTCCCAAATTTACCGTACATTTGCCACCGTTCCTAATGAAAACAAGTTGAAAAAGTATTTGATCACTAAAATCATG